TTTCTTAAAATATAAATCATCAATAAAGACGACCTGACCCTTCAACTTAAATAAATTCGTATTTATTTCTTTCATAGTTTACAATTTAAACTCCCTATTAGCAAATAAGCTTTATTATCCTAATGATGTAGTGTTTAGGCTTAACAAGTGATGATTCCTGCCAGGTGAATCTTTATTAAAGATATACATAACAAACCACTGAAGAACTAGCGAGGTGTATGAATTTTGAGAAACTTGAGAGAACTACATCAGAGCATATAGTTAGGCATTACTTAGACGAACCTCTTAACCAAGATTATACTTATCCTTGGTGTTATCCACCCTCTCCAATCGAAACTCTTTCCAATAGCTTTAATAATTTTTGAAACTGATTTAGACGAGAATATCAAGCAGATACCTTTACCTCAAGAACTACCATTGCCTTTAATTTATTTGAACAACTTAGTGATACCCCTGAATCTGAACATCATAACTCTCGCCTAATAAGAGTTATCTACCAACTTCTTTCTAGTATTCAATACTGTGTTCGACTTTTTTCAGCAGACGTAATATACTTGTATATACAAGACATATCATTTCGAACAAATTGTTTTCAACAACCTATTACCTTATCTATTTCTTTAAGGGTATATACTGAAATCTTAGAACAAGATCTAGTAAGGCCTATAGCAGATCAACAATTACTACAACATCTTGTTGCTTCTTCAACACCTTTTGCATCTGGCTTATCGAACTCATCTCCTAATTCACCCTAGTCAAAACTAAAATCATGGTCACAGAAAACGAAATGAGAGTTATTTTCCAAGAAATTTTTGGGAATAATGGACAACACTTGACAGATATTAGTAAACGACTCTGATTAGCCCAAAGAGGAGAAAGATCCACTATTAAAGTTGACTATTTTTCAGGAGCTGAAAGTAAAGATCCTGTAGAATGGCTCACTACATTCGAAAGAGCTGCCATTACTAACAGATAGACTACCGAAGTACGAAAGAAAGCCCTTGCTGGAAGACATCTTAAGGGTGCAGCAGCTGACTAGTTTGATAGTATTACTGCTGCTATGGAGATAATTAGAATACTGGAACTAATGGTGGCCAAAACTTTGTAGATTTATTTGAAGCTCGTTTCATTAGCGAAATCAAGAAAAATTAATAGTATCAGGAATTAACTTCTCTGCGACAACAAACAGATGAGTTTGTAAATTCTTACGCTAATAAATTCAAGAAATTGGTAACTTGTGTAGTATTAACAGATGAAGCATAAAAGAAGAGGATGTTTCTTATGAGACTAAATCCTGCTTATATCCCGTTAGTCTACTTCTAAAATCCAGCTGATCTAGATGCTACTGTAACCTCTGCGTGAACCATTAAAATCAGATACAATTTCGCCTCTGAAAAAGCTCCCAAGGATATTAGTGTTATCGCAGTCTCTACTCCTAAAAATGTGGTTATTAATACTGAGATAGATGAACTCACTAAAAAATTAGAACAACTATCTATTAATTATGCTAATTTGACAACTGCCTTATTAGCTTAGCCTCAACAACCATCAAGGAGACGAACAGAGTAACCCTACAATGATACTAATAGAAGATCCAAACAAAATATGTCTTCTATGACTTGTTACAATTGTAACAGGAAAGGCCACATAGCTAAATATTACCCTCAACCTCGTCAACAATTAAGAGGAATTGATAGAAAACCTCGTTATGATAATACAAGAGAAGTACATCTTACTGACTAATATTACGAGGAAGAATATAATGATGAGGAATATACTTCAAAAGAATATTATGAAGAAGACGAATATAAAGTCTATCTTAACACTAGGTCTGGACCTTACCCAAAGAATGCTGTGTCAAAAAATAAAAGAAGACCAGTAAAGTTCCAAAACCCACCTAAGATAACTGTTGAAGAACTAGACATGAAAAAACTAACGCCAGAACCTGTAACTGAGCCAGTTAGAACTGAAAAAGCATTAAAAGCTCCTAAAAGAAGGTTGTTACCTGCCCCTATTGAACAACTAACGGAATTTAATGTCTTAACTTACTTACAAAATCTACCATGTAAACTCTCAGTAAGACAAGCTACATATGCTATCCCCAAATATCATTCTAGTTTAGCTCGAGCTGTCAGACGCTTAAGAGAAAGAGCCACTGATGAAACTAAGGAAGCTAATTTAGTAGAAAGTGATGATGAACTAATCTCAGCCGCAAAATATACTTTGAGGATTAGACAAAAAGCTCAAACTGCAATTATTGATAGTGGAGCTACTACCAGTATCATAACCAGAACCTTAGTAGAAAAACTAGGATATAAAATTAACCGACTCTCAAAAATGATAGTAGTAACAGCGAATGGTGCAAGGACTCGTTTCCTCAGAATTATCGACAATGTACCAGTAAAGATTAGAAAAATTAATGTACCCACTTCCTTCCAAGTACTCGAATCTAAAGATGAAATCCTTATACTTGAAAACGATTGGCTCAGAGTAACCAATGCTACTATGAGTTGGGAACAATCCATCCTTACTATTAAACGAGATGGAATTACCATGAAAATTCCTATTGCATTTACAAAAACAGCTAAAGTTGTGACTCAGGAAGCTGAGGATGAATATGAAAGTGAAGAATATGAGGACGAATATTTAGAAGAATATCCTATTTATTTATCTGACGATGTTGAATCAGAAGAATCAGAATTAGATGATGAGTTAGGATTCAACCCATGGTCTGACCATTACTCTCCTATTCAATCTGAAGAGGATACTGATGATAATGGAGAATTAGAAGAGCAAATAGAAGACAATCTAGTTGTTTATTTGGCCAAAATTGCAGGATATATTGCTAAAACTGATCCAACGTACTTGGAGCAACTAGGACCTTTAGATTTTCACCAACAGTAGACCTTTATGAATCTTCTAGGAGAATATTATGATATTTGCGCAAGAAGTCAAATGGAGATAGGACGAATAACAGAGATCAAGCACTGTATCTATACTGGAACAGCTATGCCAATTGCTCAGAAACCATATCAAATGAATCATGAAAACACCAGATTCTTGAATCAAGAGCTAAAGAAAATGGAAGAAAATAGTATAATTCGACTCTCATATAGTCCATGGGCCTCATCTGTAGTAATTGTAGGAAAGAAAGGAGGTGAAAAAAGATTATGTGTTGATTATCGAAAAGTCAATGTTGTCACAAAAATTGACGCGTATCTATTACCAAGAATTGATGACTTATTAAATTTATTAGGTGGAGCAAATTGGTTTACTACCCTCGACTTGACTAGTGGTTATTGGCAAGTAGCAATGCATCCAGATGATATTAAGAAAACTGCTTTTATTACAGCAAATGGATTGTACAAATTCTTAGTCATGCCTTTTGGTTTAAATAATACATCTGGAACCTTTCAAAGGCTTATGAATTGGGTTATCCTGTGATCACTTGTTTAATTTTTATATTTTCATGGTAAATTTCCTCTAATTCATCATTAGGAGATTTATATCCAATAGCGGTTATTAGGACAGTATTAAAGTATTGTCGAAACAATTCCTCTTCGAACCATTTGTCATTTTCTCCTGATTTGGGAGAAGAAATATGCCATTCTGTGTCTTCCTTTATACTAATATTTTCATCCTCATCGTCAGCTATATCTGTTTCAATTAGGTCAATAAGGAAACATTCAGCTGTTTCTTCATCATATATGCGAGACAATGCATCAGCATTTGCATTATGTTTTCCCGCTCTATTTTCTATAGTAAAATGATGTTGTTATAATTCCATGATCCATCTAGCACGTCTCCCTTTTGGCATTTTTGAAGTTTTTAGCCATTTTAGAGCAGCATGATTAGTAATGATAGTAAATGGTCGACTAAGATAATGATGAAAGTGTTTAATTGACCAAACAATTGCTAAACACTCTAAGTCAGTGATAGGGTAATTTTCCTCAGTTTTGTTGGTCAATCTGCTAGCATATGCAATAACATATTCTTTTCC